TTATGAAAATTGAACAACATGAGTAAGATGAGCAATATATCGGGAGACATGATGGGTCAGACATGATTTTGACCACTTCATTAAGTTTTGTTTTGTGGAAAGCCTTTCTTTAAAGTGAATTTCGTTTTGTATAAATTATATCTTAATTTTAATCAAATTTCCATCAACCAATTGCTATAATAAATAAGAATCAAACATATAGCAGACATGACATGGAGGCGCGGCGCGATTGCATTGCGTGAACTGGAGAGCAAATCTTATCATAAATTAATTAACCGAAACTCAGGTATGCCTCACAGACATGAGGAACTATAGAATGCTTGAAATGTCAAAACAATTCAAAACGAAAATAAATCCATTATGTGCATTTCTAGGTGCCGCCCCAGAAAATAAGCGCATTATTGATGCACAAGTCATTGTAGCATTTATTGCATGATCACATTATGGAAGGTTACAACTTATTTTTTCCTTCTCAATAGAACCTTCCAGCAACGTTCTGGGAACAAAACAATAACTTAAAAAATAGTCATTAAGCAACGTTCTTTATAAGTTGTTTTGAGGTTATTCAAAAAATAACCTTCCAGCAACGTTCTGGGAACGTTGTTTTATGGTTGCAAAACAAAAACTTAAAAATAACCATTAGGGAACGTTCTCTATAAGTTGTTTTGAGGTTATTAAAAAAATAACCTTCCAGCAACGTTCTGGGAACGTTGTTTTATGGTTACAAAAAAATAACTTAAATATAACCATTAGGGAACGTTCTTTATAAGTTATTTTTGGGTTATTTAAAAGTAACCACCCTGCATCGTTCTGGGAACGTTTTTTTATGGTTACATAAAAATAAAACCTAAAAAGAACGTTCCCCTAACGTTAGTATTTGGTTCCCAAAAAAATAACCAAACGGGAACCAAAAACTAACGTTAGGGGAACGTTATGTGTTAACTGGGCCTATACTTAAAGGGTCATGAAACCCTAAACCAAATTTTCTGAGATGTTAACAGAGGTATGTGTGTTGAACAACATTGAAGACAATGTTAGCATCTGTTAGATTTAATAGTAGGGCGAAAATGGTTAAATTTTAGTTTTTTCCAGCTATTTTCGTCTTCCGGGTTTAAAATCTTCATCGCAGGCTGTGACGTGGCAGTGCACAGTGTAGTGCGTTGATGACTCATCGGTCTCGCATAATTATTAATGAGACTGAGTTTTTATATCCTATGAGAAGACACGGTCTCTTAATTATTCATGACACCACGTGGATCTTTCCACAGACATGTCAAACTGTGATATCGCGTAGTAAAGGAGAGAGACAATCATGGGACGCAAGACAAGTGCCGCAAACATTTTACCCGAGAGAGCATCGAGAATTGGAGAATGGTGGACTTCGGCCTTGTCGATGACCAATGCAAGTTACGTCTTGCGAGTAATGCGGTACCAAGTCCTGAGGACTTTTCTATCCCTTCAGAGTGTGTGTCTAAAATGTAACACTGGTCATTTTACTTGCCTTTTGTTAAATAAGCGGTCGTTATGAACATTTTAGATATTTCGATAATATATTGTATGCTTAATGCGGGAGACTTGTGAATGTGTAGTGTTGACGTGCGGGCCGGGCGACACCGTGTTGTGTGTGTGTGTGTGTACGTGCAGGCAGGCGAGCCTGCGAAATGATTCGGGGTCAAAGAGAGAAGCGGTAGGATGTGTGTTTGGAGGAACGACTGAAAACTCTGAGATTATTGTTCATTATTGATCGTACATTGTACAGAGGTCAAAATTATTGTACAAATACGATTTTGCCAGATGAACACTGCTGGCTGATGACAGTTCCCCCTCTCCCCTGCCGTGCCACACCCACTCCCTCCCTTCTTCTCACAGCCATCCACGCCCATTTAAGTTGCATTTTTCAAAAAGATTATGAGCTAGACTTGAGCTGATAGAGGGGGGTTTCATGACCCTTTAAAGCTGCTGTCCGTAGCTTTTTTTGGGTTAAAAATTATCCAAAATACATATTTGATAAAATACATAACCAGCCAGTGTTCAAAACTATCTGCTTGCCTTAGCTCGATGCAAAACGGTAAGCTTGTAATAATGTTTTTAATTTTAGTGGTACTGGTGGATTTCCGCGGGAGATTCGAGCATGTCTTTGCGTCATTACGTCACATCTGTACACATAAAGAAGGAGTCTCGGCTAGTATAAGCTATATTGCGTGTGAGGATGCTGGAGGTAGAGATTTATAGCTTTTTCTCACAGCACTTGATATAATTAAACTTATCAATTTGATGGCGGATCCAGAAAGGTTCAAACGACGATCATCATCAGTGACAAGAGACTCACCCGCTGTAAAATCTATCTCTATCATTATAATCAATATCAATTATCAATATTATATTAAATGTTATATCAATATCAATATATCTATTAACATGCAAAAGACTTCGTTCGGACTTCGGAGCTACAGAAAAAAAGAGACTGCAACCGGACCCATGCGAAAACAAGGATAATATCGGAAGGACATTACATGATGTAGTCACGCAATGCTTGCTGACGTTGTTAACATTAACAATTTGAGAACATAGTATAGCTACTTTGCACGGTTTTGCGTGAAATGATAACTTATAAGCAATTGTTAGATTTAATCAGCGCGATTTACTGCAATGTCAGAACCAGAATAAAAGTGAATGTTTCTTACTAGTTCAGATGACATTTCCCGGTGAAAATTGTTATGTTGGTCATACTTCCAAAAAGAATAATCTGTGATTCTGAATGACAATGTCCACATCGGCGCGGTGACTGACAGCTGCACACTCTCCTCAAACACTGTTCATCCGCGCTGTGCCGTGTCGAGGGTGTTGAACTACAACTCACGTAAAGTTGATAATTCCGCGAATGACTGCAATTGCAGATTTCGAACAGAGATGGCGACAAAGAGGAAAAATGCCGGACTGCAGCTTTAACCGTTGGTTAAATATTATGCGAAATCGCATACTCTCTTACTTATTTTGAATTACTTCACAACCACTATAAGTAAGTTCTAAACATAGACAGTAAAAGAAGGTTCTATAGTATGAGTGTGTAGTATGAATGCAAGCTGGACATGCTGCATTTGATATGTTGTCATTATCATGTAAATACTGCGTCAGTTGCATCTCTTCACTGCCATTCATAAATCCTCTCATGTGGCCTCATGGGATAGTAAAGTGTCCATCGCACACTGATCGTAGATCGTACACTTATGAATCTCAACGGAAATAGTATAGGGTCATCCGGGTTTTTTTCTACACTTTTATGAGTAGCCTACTGTGAATTCGGACTTCTTTTGTCAGTCACATACCAGAAATATGCGATTTTGGATGCAGCAATATAAAAAAGAAACACAAATGTGATCTAAAGTCTTTTTTTTTATCATATTAGTATGGTTGAATTGGATCATCGAAAGTCAGCATCAAAAACGTTGGTTAATAAAGCAAGATTAAATTTCATAAAGTATAATTTGTATAATCATGTTTGCATTTCTCTGTTTTTATTCATTTTGAGGAATACTGAATCTGTTTTTGTGCAAGTGAGATGAATAAATGCGTGCTCACATTTAGTGCACGGCATTTATTACAATTACCATCATGTTTACACACTGCGCACACAACGCCTCTGAACCTACTTTATTACAAAGTATCTTGCGTAACTAATTTAAAAAAGTAACTCTATTTTGTTGTAAATTTAAAAGCAATGTGTTAATTTGCTTGTGAATTGGAAAAAGGTAATCTGATTACACATTTCACGCTATCTATCTATCTATCTATCTATCTATTTATCTACTAATGTTTGTTATATATATATACTGTTTGTTATATCTTGAGTGTACAAAGAAAAGAAAAGAAAAAAAACCCAACAAGATTTGGAAATATACCTTTGAGGTACAATTCAAATAGGCAGCAATTGTGATGAATGCAATTTCATAATAATCCATGACAATTAACAGACAATGTCTTCCAAAAAAAAAAAAGATTTCAGGGCCGTCTTTTATGGCTGTGAAGAATGCACAGTCTGTCTTGCTATACATGAAATCATGGCATGAATGAGTTGGAGAGGGACGCGTGGAGGAAAACTGTTTGCAAGAGCTTCTGGAGAGATGAAAGGGAACATTTGAATGCGGAAAGGTCAACACTTTCTCCATTATGTCAAATTTCATTACAGAGCAGACAGCCATCTCTACCATTCAGGTTAGACTTAATGCATCCAAATTGCAGCAATTACGATTTCATTTTAAAACAGACTTTTTTCAAGACAATGATTATTGCTACACATAATCATTTTATGAGTAAGAGAAGAGATTGCAAGGGAAACAATTCTGTTCTTCCTCTAGGGAGATACAAAAGGACTAAATATATTTTAATAGTTTTTCTTCCTTTCGGAATGGATTAGAGAAAAAAAAATCTTTACATGCACCTAGAAATTAGTCACTTGTCATTTAAAATGTACCTGTCTAATCTATCAAGCACTCAACCTTTAAAATATGTTGGAAATATAAAAAGTCAATGACTGCTGCCTCTTTTCTTCAAGGAACTTCAAGCCAACCTTTATCCTCCTACCGTGTGCCATTTTTCTCTACTTCAAGTGACTCAGTTTGACAGTTTAAGCATAGTGGCAGCGTGGCCTTTAGAAAGGCTGAACTTTAGGCTTAGTCTCTTAATTACTCAGTTCATCATATTACCTCTGCAAAATGCCGAAAGCATAGGCTGGCTTTCACTTGAATTAAACAGAGGAAGAGAGCAGGGCTGGGAGTCGGTGACAAAGAGAAGACAGAGACAAAGCAATACCTAAATATCTCTGGAACACTGCCCAATGGATGACCTCCACCCTGAATAAAACTGGCCAGCAGGATGATGAGGTTATACCAGGTCAATGATCTTATTGTTGTCAACAAATCTCTTAATAAAGCTGGGGCTGCTGCCTCTTTGTGGACAAAAGAGGGAAAACACCATTCATGAGAAAAATCAGTCATACAAAATAAGTAAAAACAACATATGAGAACTAAACTACATCATTATTTCAGTGTTACATATTTATCATGCACTAATTACCTAAGATAGCTTCAAAAGGAGAGGAAACTTTTATGTTGTACAACCATATTTATACAACAGTTAGTTCAAGAACTCAATTTTGATTGGCCGAGAGGCATTCTGAAAGCAAATATCAGAATATTTAGTCATATAGCACTGGGACCGGGACAAGTGAGTCAATGAATCACTCACATAACTGATTCTTTTAAAAACACTGATTCATGATTCGGTTGGTTCTGCTTTGGCCTGAGTACCAGGCAAAATTCTGTATAAAATGTAAGTTGCTTATTAGCTTCTTCTTTATTGAACTGCATGTTTCATAAAATCTATATCACAATCATAACCTTCTTGTTGTTCAGATTCTGATTATCAGCTGCCACATCAGTCCCATCACAGACGTGTTGACATTCAGTACAATTGCACGCTTGCTTGTGTAATATTGCTTAATCATAATCCTGAGCTGCATAAATATAATTCCCCTTTAAAATACAAATATAAAAAATGTTATTTCACTTAAAAAAAAAAGTCAACATTAAGACAAAACAAAAGGTCAATTGTTGAAAAGTGCAATGAATATCAGATCAGTTCAATGAATTATGTAGATAACATCCACGGTATGACTGGCCACCACCAAAAGTACAATCACCAATAATGGTGTGACTTGTTTGTTGTATCTTTTGGATGAGAAGATGTTTGAAAGGCCTCTATAGTACTTCCAGCAGTATCATGTCAATCTTGGAAGTTACAGCTTGACTCCAGACTGCCTCAGCAGCCAATCAATGCCATCCAGCAGTCCTGTCAGTGTTTCTGCAGTCGTGTCCTGAACCTATAGCATCACAAAACACATTGAAGCCTTATAGAACACAACATTCATTTCTTATGCATGTCACAAATTCTTTTCTTGATGCTGTCTTACCATCCAGGGGTTGGGCAGTGAGCTGAGCTGAAGCTGATGGGCAACGGTCACACAAGGTATCCTGCGTCTGTCTGCTGTCTCTCTAGACACACAGGAGAGCACCAGGATAGGGCGGGACACAGCACCCATCACAGGGTCTAACATAACCCTGATCTGGGCACTCTCCTCCTCCCACCCTCTGCCGGCTACTCCAATATATGAACGAGAGATATACAGTATAATATCACTACATATGCTTACAGTGCTTCAGGCAAAATTGATATTTGTCAACATAACTAATTTAATGCATTGAAGAATAAGCTTTTAAATGAAAAGTGTACACAACAATCATACCTCTTTCTGTCTCAGCATTTGCCACAAAGATGAATCCATTCATGGCATGGCAAACTTGATTAAACATGGGGATGAGGCTTAAGGGCATGTTGGACTCGCTGTCCTCCTGATAGACAAAGAGTTTACTGCGCAGACTGAGGTGCTCCAGGCGAGCTCTTTCTCGCTCCGTCCTAAATCACCAGACACAGACTCTCATTCATACAAACTGGATTATGTGACACATTTACACATTAGCTCAGAATGAGAAAGATTCAAAAGTTCACGCAAATAAAAACATGAGCAACATAAACTACCATTTATAATGTTAAGATTTGTATCTCAAACAAATGCTGTTCTTTAGAACTTCCAATTCATTAAAGAATCCTGAAAAAATGTTTCCACAAACATATTTAGCAGCACAACTGTTTTCAACATTGATAATACTAAGAAATGTTTCTTGAGCACCAAATCAGCATATTAGAATGATGTCTGAAGGATCATGTGACACTAAAGACTGGCTACTAAAACTGTAGCTTTGCCATTAGGAATAAATTACATTCTAAAATATATTAAAATAGTAGACCGTTATTTTAAATTGCAATAATATTTCACAGTATTACTGTTTTTACTATATTATTGATCAGATAAATGCAGCCTTGGTGAGCATAAGAGATTTATTTAAAAAATCAAGATTTAAAAGAAATCTCACCGACCCCCCGTAGTGTATATTTCGAACACTTCTGAATGAGAATAAACTATCCTCTTCCTTACCTGTTAGTCGAATATAAAGTCGCAATATTGAATCTGTGCTGATCTTTGTCCAGAAAACTGATTCCTGATCCAATGCCTGGGAAAAAGAAAAAAATCCCATCAAGCTCAAGAGCAGAAAAAGCAACCACAGCACGCAACATTCATTTATTCAGTTAAATAACCAACTTGAATAAACCATAAGTAATTGCAGGGTACCATCAATCTGACGTTGAGGTATTCCTGCTATAGGCAGAACATCAGGGGAATTCATGATGGTGGTCATGAGGGAAATCTCTAACTGCTCAAGCCCAGGGCCGAACATGGCGAACTGTGGCTCTGCAACCGCTACGAAGGACTGGAAGAAGGAAGTCACAGACTCAAATGTTGCCCTGGGTTGGTGTCGCCACTGGTTTCGACAGGCCGGGCAGATGCGTAGATACCTGTGTGTGCCGTGCCAAAGAGAATATATTAGTAAACATTATAGGTTTTTGAAAACGACTTTTATAAGTACAAGACCACTTTTATTGATATTAATATAAACCACTTTTATTCATATTTTTATTTTCTTATATTTTATTTCAATATTCCGTAATCTCCCAACAAAACATATAATAAACAGGGCTGCTCCCAGAGCTAATTATTTCTGATATCAAAGTGCCATCTGCCTCAGCGTTAAGCACTTACTCTGCCATATAATCAAACTGCATCTGAGAGTCATCGAGCACAGCTGAGCCAGTGAGCTTGACATGAGGCACTGATAAATGGTCGACTGACTGCCAGAGCGGCATATCACGCAACAGGAAGTACTTCCACAGGACAGGGTCTCGAACCATTGACCGCCAGTAGGTGCTGGTGCCTCCCAGTCTGCAGAGGTCTTGCGGAGACAGGAAGGTCATAATGAGAAACTGCATGTCAACCTGTGTGTTTAAATAAGGAAGACACAAAAAAACGTGTTTTGGAATATTGTTTGAAGAATTAGACCGGTCATAAGTTTTGAGTTGGTAAGATTTTTTTAAATGTTTTTGAAAGAAGGCTGGACCAAGGCTGCATTTATTTGATCAAAAATACAGTAAAAACAGTTATATTGTGAAATATTATTACAATTTAAAATAACTGATTTCTATTTGAATATATTTTTTAAAATGTAATTTATTCTGGTAATTGTCAAACTGATTTTTTTTTTTTTTTTTGCATCATTACTGTCTCATGACCCTTCAGAAATAATTCTAATAGGCTGATTTGGTGCTCAAGAAACATTTCTTCTTATTATCAATGTTGAAAATGTTGTGAACACTGTGATACACTTTTTTTAGAAGGTTTTCTTTTGATGAGTATAAAGTTCTAGCCAGGGAAAACCCAGACAACTTCCGGCAAATTTAGATTTGCTCAGTTACAACTGAGAATGGTCTGGTTTTAACCAGGCTAATAAAGTTCAGCATTAATATGAAATACAAATCTTTTGTAACATTACAAAGGTCTTTACTGTCACTTTTGATCGATTTAATGCAATCTTGCTGAAGTATTAATTACTCCCTATCTTTTGAACGGTAGTTTAAATAACACTCTACTGGATTATTTAGAGACATGTTCCGGTCTACATACAGTATACATACTACTATACTGCTCTTACTTTTACAGCAGTATATAGGCCTTTGCATGTTGTGCACAGTATGCAAAAACATGCATAGACATGCTTCAGAAAATGCACTTGATTTGACCATCCATCTCAAGTGTGATAAATGAACTAGAAATAATATCAGCTGTGATCTCTTTTTCGTCGCATTATTTGACCAGACTACCAAATTGTTTTTTTTGTTGTTGTTTTTTAGAAAATTTTTTAGGTAAACTTTTGTTGAGGTGTGAGTGATGAGGTGATGTGGTAATGTACACATGCATACAGTGTACTTTCAGTAATCAGTGCGTAGTAAGCTAGTATTACATTTCGAACATAGTTAGCCGTAGTATCTACTTTTAATAAAGCGTCAGGTAAATAAATACTTATGAAATTCAAAGAATCGTGCCTTACCGACAGATTATCCAGAGAGGGGCCCGTGACGTCATCACTTGTCCCCTGAACATCATCTTTTTGTCGTCTTGTATCAAAAAACCTATCTCTAATACTCCTAAGACTTTGTACGACTATAGATCGGCTCAGCATACTGACACTTATTTGTGAACAATTTCTAAGACGGATTTCTATATGTAACCTTTTTAATAGAGTAATTTGCTTTATTTCAGTACATGGTATTTCAATTTCAGCTGTGCAATCTGAAGTATTCCTTTGGCTTTTCCCGGAACTGTCAAAGTTACACGTCTCTCATGTTTTCATAGGCGTGTATGCAACGTCAAGTACATAGTGCATTGTGGGAATTGTAGTTTTGAAAACAAGACACTACAATAGAAAAAAAACGAGTAAGTTACTAGGAGTGACACATAAAACAAATTTAAAAAAAGAATAAGTTATCAATTTAAAAATTCAAACATAAAAATGAAACAAATTAGATTTTTTATTTACAATGTTATTTATCTAAATGTACATTTATTTTTTCAATTCGAAAATGATTCATTTGAACACATTTTAAAAGATTCAAATGTCTATTAATTTGTCTATTTAAAATTAATGTATTTATTTATTTCCATTTTAATGTTTAAATTATTAAATTGATAACTTATCCCTTCATTTTTAAGTGTCACTCAAGCTTCTTAAATATTGTCCATCTTGTGCCCGTTACCCAAAGATTGCAATTAGTCACAATGTTGCAGATTTAGTTATTAATGACTTGTGTAGATCAAAAGAGGACATTACTCCTGTGCATATCAAACTACATTGGCTTCCTGTACGATGCAGAATTCATTTCAAAGTGCTGCTTTATGCTTTCAAAGCATACCAGAGTATGTTCTGATTTAATCAGTCTGTATCCAATATGTCTTTGCGTTCAAATGAACAATTGCATCTTATGGTTCCTCAATCTCGCTTAAAATGTAATGGTGATCGGGCCTTTTCTGTTGCAGCTCCAAGGCTTTGGAATGACCTTCCTCTGTCTGTAAAACCATCTCCAACACTTAGTGTATTTTAGAGTGCGCTATAAACTCATGTTTTCTTTAGCATTCGAACATGTTTTGTAAGTGGTTGTGTGGTATAACATGTTTCATTGGTTCTATGTTTGTTTTTATTCTTTTATTTATTCTTTCTGTACCACACTTATGTTCCACATTGTGGTGTTGAAAATGGTTTAGAAATAAAGTTTGAGTTGATCTGACTAAGGATACCTCTACAGAGCAACTACTGTATGTCTGATGTTTTTGGAAAATGCGCATGGAGAAAAAAAGCCCCACAATATTAATGTTAATCACAGCCACCCATTAGTCATCTTTTGTGTGTTTACTTCAAACAAGTGTACACATTCAACAAAATCATATTAACCAGTAAAAGGCACTAACATTATGTAGGGTTGCTAATTACCCCAAAACTGATAGCAATGTAAGCTTGAGATCACATTAAGCACATGTCTTGGTTTTGAAAATAACTATTGTCTTATATTACACCAGCACCAAAAGTGTTTGCACTTCTCAGAACTCTCAAGCTGGACTGTTAGTTAAACCATAATGCTTTTTTAATTGCCTCACCTTGAAGCTTTATGAATGTTAGTTGTTCCTATGTTAACATTACAAGATTAGCAATGAGGGTTATAAAATACAGATACAACTTGAGATTTGTCTGGAAACCTTTTGATAATCACTGGAGACATGAAGGCAATCAGCAACCTTTATCTATTAACACTCCAAATAACTTTTCTGGTGTAACAACATCCAATGCATGTGAAACCAAAATATCACTCGCACATTCACATTTCAACATTTCTTAACCCAAAATTTATTTCAATGAAGACATAAAAAACAAAAAATGAACTTCCTTTTAAAAAGAATAATGACCAAAAAGTTTAGCTTTTTAAAAGTATACTATCAAAATATCCAAATTCCCATCTCTGAACATTACATCTGGTCAACGAAAGCAGTAAAGATGTAACTTTGAATAAGTGAGCAGAAGAGGTGTCATATACAAAGATGTTATTAAAAAGAAAAGGTCCATACTTAAAAATGGTCACGAATACTTAAATATGCAACATATATCTGCATCTCCCCCTCCTTTGTACCATTTCTTTTAACATATATAAATGACATATATAAATGTAATGAACTAAAAATAAATAAATTAAAATTAAAATAAATAAAAAGTTGTGTGATGCTTCTCAGCTGGAATAACTGTTTCCTTAAACAAATAGTTATTTGTTTATATTTTACATTAGAAGTATTATTCCACATTCTCAGCGAAAACACACATCCAGAAAGCAAATCTGGACCGGAAGATAAGTGCCTTTTTTGTATTCAGTATTTTTCTTTTTTAATCTTTTTTGTTTGTTTAATTTTTTTTTTTTTTTGCTAGCTTCAGAACAATGACATTTTGTGAACCTCCTCTCCTAAAAGCTCTCTCCAGGTTTACTGTAAAATACTAAGGATCTCCTTGGCATTCTCTGTGTTCCAGCCCTGACCCTGAAGTGGCCCCTCGCATGCCAGCACGTACTTATGGAGGATTTGTGTGCCAATATCTCGGAAATGAAGCCTGTCCTCTTTGCGCTCTGTGGTGTCCATGCTGCAGTCCTCATATTTCACTGCCCAGAAACACATCTCACCAATGTACATCATTGTAAGCAAGTGAGTATCAGAAAAGATACCTATTGGGGGAAAGGGTAAAAATGGAATTAGTCAAGAATATAAACACACACTTATAACATTCTTTTAATTTTGATTAATAAAAATGATATTCTCTAAAAATGACACCTGACAAAACTATATGATGAACTAATGAACAAATCTCAATACATCTTTCCAATTAAATTCTGTTACTATGACTTCAAGAACTGTGTAATTTATTCTTATATAGCTACACATCTTTCCGATAGAAAATCTCTTCGTAATTAAACCAATATTTGAAGATACTGATAACCCAGTATCTTTACGTGCTTTGAAAATCCGCCCCTGCAGAAACAGATTGAAGTCAGTGCATACGCAATAACTGGCATGTCTGGAGTTTTCAGTTCCCAAATTCCAAACAAAATGCCAAAGAAATCAATCAATCGACTTTCAGTTCTAGAACAGAAAGTACATTTGCGAAGATGTACCTTCTGCCAGAAAATTGGCGGTTGCAGAGTCATGAAAAACCACACCATCGTTCAGCTTGACTGAGTTCCTCACTTGCAACATTCTCATAAGGTAACGCACACCTTCTTGAAGACACTGTGAAGACACGGAGCATTGCAACACTTACTCAATTCATGGCCACTAAAACTGGCACTGTGGAGTGAGAAGTTGGGGAAAGAACCTTAAGGAATGTGGCTTTGTTCTTCTTGATCCACTGCTTGCGCTGGTGTAGTGTATGGCAGTACATATATAATAATGCCCCACGCCTCCAGTATAGGCATTCCAGCAGCTCCAGTCCAAGCACAGACTGCACCTGAGACAAATCAGAGCATTACACTAGTTACTCACAGAAGAGTTTTCTCTGCTTCTTCAGTCTATGCCAATTAAGCTCTGAAAATAGATGCCTGTGGGCGATCAATTACGTATGCTGTGTGTGTTTAAAGTAAAGAATATTTATTCTGAACACCCACTTGTAAAGTCAAAACGCAAAAAAATGTATTGCTCAGGAAATCATCAGCAAATAATAAAACCAATTGTTCCAAGAAAAGGTATTTTACAGATAGAGAAACAACACCTCTTGAGCAGGTACCAGTCGCCCTGCTAAAACCTCTGGCTCTGTCAGGTCCTGTAGTAACTGCTGGATTTTGAAAGGAGAAGTGTCCTCAGGAAACTCCTGATCTACAAGCTTGTTTTCCTCGTAGAATGTAATGTCCAAGACAACCTGTAGAAATGTGGGTAAAACAATGGGCCATTGCATCAAAATCAGGGTCTCTGCAGAGTTTTTAAAATGAAATGTGACCATTTAAGGCCTCCACAAATAAAATTATAATTTTTTACTCAATTTAACAGGCTTGGGCAAAACATGGTAAGTGCACATTTAAAATACTTAAGACATGTTTTATTCAATATATATATATATATGAGTTTATGCACTAACATATGATTACATATAAATGAAATGTCAAAGTTCATAATATAATAACACTGTTTTTTTTCAGAATGACAGAAGGATACACTACACATGATACAAACAGACAGACCTGCAAATTGATCTGTATACATATGACAGACACCTATATTGTACATGACCATAACATATTACATTATTGCAGGTAGAAATAAGTATACAAGACACATGAGAAAGACAAACTAACATATCTACATATAGATCTTTACATGACAAACAACTACACTACTGTATCGTACATCATTTAGCACAAGTCACTGAACATCTATTTTATCTGTACATTTGATTGTATGTAGTGTTACATCTTATACCAGATTCATCTGTCAAGGAACTTTAGACCATATGTTTAAAGAAAGACAATAAACAGATTATTATCCGATACTAGGAAAAACTCTATATTTAATGAATATTAAATAATGCTTCTAGTCTTTCCTTTCTGTGACAGGGTGAAATTAAATGCCAGATGAACTTTATTGCATATCCAAAATACAAATAATATCCAGAAGAAAAAAAGTGATGCATAATGTGGAACTTTTTAACTATAAACAAGCCCCAAAACACTGGGACTCTTATTTTGAAATGTCTATGCTTTAGTACTTCCAGCAGCTCATTCAAAAAGATGAGATAATATGCACTTACTATAATCTACACCATATTAAAATATAAACATCATAATGTAAACACTGTCATAATTCAGCAGTAATGTGCAACCACTTGGCATAAATGGGCGGCATTCAATGATTGTGAACTACTTTGAAACCGCGAGCCTGTAGAATGTGCAACAGTGCCATGTTTTGTCATTTATTTAACTTTTACGGCTTAATAATCACATTAGATCATAAGGTCACATTTAAGACTTTTAATCAAACTGATTTAAGGACCTGCAAAGCCCCTGTCAAATATGGGAAGCTAATGTTAAAGTTGATTAAAAAAAAAAAAACTTATCAAACATTTCTTTTTAAATAAATTAACTAACATGAAGGTTCATCTGTGAAAAATCTGATTCAGGTTAAACCGTTAAATATGCTAAAATAATAATTGACTACTTTGTTACCTAGCTACACCTAAAGAGAGCTGTTAGTAATAATAAAAGCAAAGTGATTACCAAGAACTGTACATTTTTGATTGGGGCAGGCTGACAATATAAAGGTTACAGTTTAAAAGTGCCATACAATATAGCAAAGACGAATGATATTCAATGATATTTAAATGACATTCAAATACCAATTAAAACAATATGTCCATGCTATTAACTGTATTATTCATACATTGAACATGTTAATATATGATTAGGCTATGCTTATGGAAATTCTGCAGGGTGAGATGTGTGTTATGTGAAGTACCTGTGTATAATCCTGCAGCAGTTTAGGGAGGCTGCTGCTCTCTCCTCCATGTCTATAATAGGTTTTCAACTTGTCTAGTATGGAAGAGGCATTCTGTAAGTAGTCATCATCTAGGAAGAAAATAAAAACGTTATTATATAATAGAGGGCATACAACAACATTATATACTTTATAGTTGGATGTATAAGAAAAAGAGCTGAGGTTATATTGTTCTGGCAAAGCTTCGGGTCCTAAATGACTGTGGAATCAGGCTTCATAACATTGTTCATAAAAAGAAAATATTATACTTATTAGCCATTTTAATGAATGTAAATCTGTAATCAGATACCTGAAGGACAGCTTTTGGTACAAAACAACAAATAGCAACATTTAATGTCACAATGACAAAGAGGAAACTAGCTCTGTAAAAACAACTCTGCACTCTGCCTGAAAAGAGCTTGATTTATCCGTGCACATCATTATTTTTTATATAAATGAATGTGCACTCGTAATCTTTAATCAAAATAACTTCCCCTTCCTCTTGCAATAACATCTCTTCCCTTCTCTGATGACATGTTTACTGGCATGAAGGCGGGACAACCTGTCACTCACATGAGATCACAGCAATAGCAAACCACAACCATCCAATCAACTCCTGATGGACAATATCAAGTAACGTAGACTAACCATGTTCCGTACACTTTTAGCCTATCACCGCACGTCAGCGACCACTCCTCCGTTTCTGAGAGCAAGACTAGCATGTTTGTGTGATCATTCTCTGGGGGAATACCCATTGATTGGTCCACACTTTGATTGATGTCTTTTGGACCAATAGTTTTTGAGAAAAGTGGGGAAAACTACCTCCTCCACCTGTGTACGGAAGATGATAAGCGTTAACGATGTTCCGTACAGGCTTATAATGGTGTTCCGTACAGAGCGAATAACTTATTTTCAACGGCGAAATGGAAAATTAACCGGTCAACTGATTAATTTTAATGTTAAAATATTTAATCATGTAACAATTTATGTTAATATTAACTTAATTGACCCTTTATGAATATAAACATCATCACTGCACTGCTGACAGACGTGCAGCCTTTTTTGCTGCCTGAGAGTGGCGCCAAACGGTCATCGGCCGCAATCGTTTAAAAATCCCCATTTCACAGCATTTAGTCAACAAAAGGGTAATATATTTAACAATTTGTGATAGCATAATATTCATTTAATAAAGACTGTTATACTGGGAAAAGCATAAATGAAATTGAAATGTACATTTTCGTTGCTCTAGTTGTCTCCCCACCCAAGCCGCTGTCTGAAGTATAGCTTGCCCACGGGCAATTTTCAAGCGAAGTGGGCGCACCTGGCAAACTAACTGAAATATCACTGGAACATACAGCTGGAGTGTCTCTGTTTTGATCGGGGATGAAAGAGGGAGAAATGAAGACGACACAGATATGTATTTTGTGTATGACCTAGAGGTATTTATTCAGCGATCGGCGGTTAAAGTTAATCTGTACGGAACATCGTTGTTGTACGGAACATGGTTAGTCTACGTTACCGGTCTGCTTTTCTTTTTTTTTTCAGGAAGCCTTTTCACTTGTATATATATATATATGTCACTATAGGGAAGAAAAGACTATCGCAGCTTCCGTTTCATGCCAACTTTTCTTCCCATTACGTATATCTAGGTGAAAAGGGTTCTCGAAGAAGAAAAAAAATGTAGGGTGGGACTTGATTTATAATATTAAATAATTTATAAATCATTCATAATAATAAATTCTGCAATATTCCATGAAAATAAGAAATAAGAAAGTTTTGATTTCATGGTGACTTTAAATGATTCTATTGAAGTAATATGATTCTCGACAGGCTAGGTGTAATCAGTATAAAACCAAGCGAATTATCTATGAGATTTAAAACATTTATAATAAATTATAAATATAATACATAAAATGACATTTTAAAAAATGTGATTTCATGGTGACTTCAAAGACAAGAACGCATTAGTATGCGTGTAAACTACGTATGAATGACAGGTTCTAAACCGCCAGTGCTTTTACAGTAATAGGGCAGCAATCAGCAACTTTTTAGACTATAAGTATGACTGTTGAGTGACTATTTTTATATTAAAATGACCTTTGGCCTGGCTATAGTAGGCAAAGTACTGCTAAAAAGAGATTGATTGTCCGTTACATTCCTTTTAGTCTTTCACAATTTAAAGGTCGTTGGAAAGATATGCTAGTTATGGCTAACGTTACACCTATAATATCACGTTGTAAAATAACTAAAGCTACGTATACAATGTTTTATTTAATGTATGTATATCGTTGTGTTCTGTAAACTGCACGACCACATGCGAATACACTTCATGCAAGCTGCATCTAACTAGCTAGTCAAACATTTGAACATTTACAGCACACAACAAACGTGCTTTGCCTTTTAAACTACCGCACGGTTTAGAATGACTAGTACGACGTTCTTGTAAACTAGTTAGTCAAACATGCCCCGTATAAACAGGGTTATTGAATGGAATGGAAATATTTGTTGTGGTTCGCAGGAATGCTAACGCAGAGCGGCTAAGCTAACTAGCTAACGATGACAACAACGGGCTGATTCGCCCAACTAACCTCACTTTCTTTAATAACGAGAGTCTGGTTTTACGCATTTGACGCCACGATTCCCGGTTACCTGGTTTCTCGGTTCGAAGTGTGGCACACTTGTTATCTAACTCAAAAATCCTCCTCTCCAGCTCGACGCTTCGTCTGTAGTCGTCGGCCATGACTGCAAACGACAGTCACGTGACGAGCGCGCGATTGCTCACGTGCGGAGGATTACTGGGATGTTTTGTTCTTTCGTTTCATTCATAAATGGCACCCCTGGCACTTACATCCAAACAGAAGCTTACTTTTTCCACCCTTATCCAAATTACCCCCACAATACTCGGTGTTTGATAACAGTGAATTGAAATTAATGTCGGCAGTAGTGATGACGGGAAGTCCGATTCATTTCCGGGAATCGGTTCTTTTGAACAGTTCAGTTAAAAGAACCAGTTCAAAGATAGATTCATAAATTATTTTAGGTTATGACGTAATTATGCACCACGTGCCGTTGTGCTTATTTCATGATTCTCCGTTTGCGTCTATTTATTTTATTTCACGGTTTCTTTTTATGTTATTTATAATTTTATTGATGTATGTATTTTGTATTATTTTATTTGTTTTTATTGTATTTTTTCGGCCTGGCCGTTGTTATTGTTGTCATTTTTCTTTCTTCTCCCTGTTATTGATTGTTATTATGTTATATTGGAACTATATTTGTTTGAATAAAAAATAAAATGATGAGTAGTGTGAACACATTTAGAGCCTAAACAAATTTTCCATTTACATTAAAAATACTACAATTATTTTACTTGACTGCTTGACTGAAAATGTGTTTTTGCATGTTTAAATGCTACTTTTAAAGACTGTCGTGTGTGTGTAAAACTGTTATTATTATAACAGTAATTAAGATATTTTTCAGCATGGTTTATGTGGAACATCAATGCGGTACGCTTAAAGCAAATACTGTTGCTCTGTTTACTGACTTGCTTTATCTGGAACACTGAGAGTCGGTCATGTACTAAAAAACAATTCTTGGTGATTCAAATGCGTTGTTGAATCTGGAACCACTCCGAAAGATTCAGTACGATTCGGAAATGAATCATCCAGACATGTCTACCGACACATAAAAAAAAAGATCCGACTCATTAGAATGAATCGGAAATCGTTAGATAGCAGTGAGAGAGTTAAATGCAAATAAGCAAATCGAGCCCCCGACACTCCTTCGTTTACCTCATCCCCGCCTGTCTGAGATCAACGAGGGCATTACTGTCACCATCATTCACTATACACAAAATTAGGCCTGTAATTTTCAGACATGGCGACTCTTAAAGCGCTAACTAGAGCGGAGAATGTGATCCTCAGGAACGTGACAGCGACGATCAAGACGAACCTCTTGCGATTCTCCGTTGGCAAGGTCAGTGTTTAGAAGCAAAAGATGGTGCATCAGAAATTTTGCATGATGTTGAACGTGTCGGTGCTTCTATGTTTGTCTTTTTTTAACCCTACTACCCATTGCAAGGCGAAGAGAGACGTTCAGATAGTATAAGGAAGCTATAAATAATTCTATACATGATGTGTTTGCTTGTGTTTGAATGATGTGTGGCAAAACTTACATATTCTTGAAGTCAAAAATTATTGCATATAGCTAGTCTTCTAAAAGTGGTCATTTTGTGCTGCATTGCATTTTTATTTTAGCAAGCCATTAAATACAATCAGCACAAGATCTTGAGTCACTTCGTTTCATATATTTGTATTATTGTTGGACTGGAAAAACAAGGTCATTAAGCAATTCTGGCTTGAGGCATAATCTACCACAGATTTTTATCAAAAACTTTAATGGAAATTCTATTGTTTTTTTATTTTGTTATTTGGATAACTACCTTGACAACACTGCAAACACTATTCATTGGTTAACAGTAACCCAACTCTCATCCCAACCCCCCTCACCATTTGGCGCATTTACATCACATAACAGGTGAACTAGACTGCTATTATAACTAGTTCTCAGAACAAGGATAATAATTCTCCAGGCCCTGACCACTAAGATAGCATTGGATTTGAAGTCATATATATGACAGTCTCATGCTGCTAGTGTCATGTGGCTGTGAGGTTCATGGAGTTGTTCTGTATACAGACAGAGCAGAAACCTTTGAATCACTGTTTCAAGGAATAACACTGGTCATAATGGTTTCTCCTATAACTCAGTATTTTTGTCGATTATTGTTTGGTAATACTGCTCAAGGCTTCTATATATACATAATAACAGATATTATTTATTCAGACAGAGTGATAATAAGTGGTCAGCTGTTTCCTCTCCACGTCCTTTGGAGCAATTGTGAAGTCAAACACGCACTGTTGTATAAACAAATAAAGATGAAATGGATTGCTTGGCTGGACTCTCAAGGTTTATTTATCACGTGAATGTCAGCATGGGATAATCAAACTGCTTTAGTTGACAGTGGAAACAAATCTTATTTGACAATTCACTTTTCTATGCATTATTTAGGAATCCACTGTAAATAGCTAACATTCAAGTGTGGAAATCTGTTTCATTCATGCTTTTAAGTGCTTCTGAATGTCCAGCCTGTTTCATTCATTCTACTCTATGTTTCTGGTTGGCAGACGTGCGGCTGTTACTTTTCCACATCAAGTCAACGGTCCGGACGATTTTATTCAGACCCCCTTGATGCCGTCAAAGATATTCCTAACGGAGCAACCATTCTTGTGGGAGGTAACTTAAGGGTTATGACTTATCATAAACTCAATCTTAATCAGTAACTGTCTGCTTAGGTATTACTTAGACTACCGTTCAAAAGTTGGGGGTCTGTAAGTTTTTTAACATTATTTAAAGAAGTGTCTTCTGCTCACCAAGGCTGTATTTATTTGATCAAAAATACAGGAAAAACAGTAATATTTTGAAATATTATGACAATTCAAAAGAACATTTTTCTATGTTAATATATTTTAAAATGTAATTTATTTCTCTGTTGGCAAAGTTGAATTTTCAGCAGTCTTCGGTGTCACATGATCCTTCAGAAATCATTCTAATATGCTGATTTGGTGCTCAAGAAACATTTCTTATTATTATCAATGTTGAAAACAGTTGTGCTACTTAATGTTTTTTTTCAAATCATGATACATTTTCTTCAGGATACTTTGATGAATAGAAAGTTTTGTTTGAAAATATAAATCTTTTGTAACAGAAATGTCTTTACTGTCACTTTTGATCAATTGAATGCCTCCTTGCTGAATAATTAAAAGCTTTAATTTCCTTCCAAAAACAAAAACAAAAAATTAAAATCTTACTGACCCCCAAACCTTTGAATATTGTATTATATTATATTAATACTATTTTTAATTATTATATTAAATCTGTACAGAACAACATGTATTGAGATCTCCCTGATAAATGGCTGAGGAGGTCATGCCAACAAGTATTTTTTGATTTCTTTACTATCCTTTTCCTTCATTCACAGGTTTTGGCCTATGTGGTATTCCAGAGAACCTGATAAACAGTTTGCTGAAGACCGGAGTGAAGAGCCTGACAGCAGTCAGCAATAATGCAGGGTAAGTCTTTTCAGAAGTAAACAACAGCTTAAACCCAGCCAAAACCAGTAACTGGATTAAAGTAAACTCGACCATCTTTATTATCGTACCCCACCAATAGGCCTAACATTGAACTTCTGTACTTCCTGACACATTCAAACAACAGAAACAGCATTCAACAAACAGCATGATTGTGTAAAAGTCTGAGCATAATCAGAAAGGATACTTCTGTGATTTGAGATTTAAAATCCATTTGGAGAAATTTGAAAGATGGCAGAATAACAAAAACAATCGCAGTCACTCTTGATAAACATCTTCTAAGGTCACTAAGTACAGCTCCATAACATCAATTGTCCCCTAGATGTCATTACAAGAATTTATCACTTAAACGACAATGAGAATGTGTGCGCAACTGACCACAAATAGAAAGAGATTACCAGTTTGACCAAGTCTAATCTGCAAGTTGGTCTAGACCTACTGGTAAATACAGAACACAGCGTGCACAAGGAGATCAATGATAAAGATTCCTTCTTAGAAAGAGTAAATGTTTTCTAAATGTCTAGTTATACAGTCTAATTTACTGTCTTATTGGACGTTGACGTTTGGTTTATTGCTGCTATGTCGCAGCTGCTCTGAACATGTGATTTGACGCTGATCTATGTATAGGTCTTTCTGTGCTGGCATTGCCCCAGGTTGGTTGTCCATGTCTATATCTTTGCGTAATCTCTGAGAGTGGGCCAGTTATGTTATTTTGAGTTTTTTGTATTTCCATCGTGACCAGTGAGTGAAGCCAGTGTAGGTTGCTGTTGAAGAAAGCGATGAAGTTCATTCTAATCGTTTTAGTTAGGCTTAAATAGGATATTGTGTATGTTAAATATGCCAACCAAATAAAAGTTTTTTTTTTTTTTTTACACCATTTGTTTATGTCCACTCCTTTAAAACAGACATGCATATCAAACTCATAAAAGTGCACTTTTTAATTCAATACATCTGGCCTTTTTCCAGAGTTAGTTTTGTGGAAAACCTCAGAGAAATTTTTTTGATAGAAATTTCCCCACTGATTCACGTGAAATTTGTTTCCCTTCCATCTTGACTGTTTGAAGCCCGCTGTTCTTGAATGCATTGTTTATTGTAACTTGTTCTGTGAGTTCTGAATCTCTGTGGTAAAAAACTTCTGGTCTACCACAGAGAGGCTGCTCAGTGAGACTGTAATGTGAAACCTGCGTCACAGCAGTGTTTGGCATTAGCATGCGTTGCTTGCACAGGAGTAGGACACTGGGTCTAAGCATGTGTATGCACAGAATCGTCTCAGACAGCGCGTGAATAGTGAATTTAATTCTCTTTCACGTCTTGTGCTTGTATGGACGAATTCAGACAAAATTATGTAAAAACGCCCGTCTTGGCGAGTATGCTAGTAAACAAAGTCGGTTATCTCAAGTGAATGTAGACAGTGTATTCAAAATGGAATCCATACATTCGGTCTTGAAGGGAGAGCAGTCTAATAAACCTGCTTCTGTGTTTTAATGTTAATCAAACAAATTGAATGAATGAGGCATTTATAGCGCTTTCATATGTACTACTGTACACCCAAAGTGCTTTACAATCATATCAGGGATCCCTCGGTTTTACGTCTCATCCGAAGGACGGTGCTTTTTGACAGTATAGTGTCCCCGACCGTCACTATACTGAGGTGTTAGGACCCACACAGACCACAGGGTAAGCGCCCCCTGTTGGCCTCACAAACACTTCTTCCAGTTACAACCTGGTTCCCTTTCGAAGGGAACTCAACAATACGTCATTGACGCTATGGGGGAACGCCTCAGGCGTGACAGGTGTCTGAAATCATGTATCAACTCACAGCAATCATGTTGACCGGCGACAGCCTGTGCATCATCAGCTCAAATGATAAGCACGCAACCTGGATGTATAAAAAGGGCGCCTTGAAAACAGTGACAACATCCTTTCGTCTTCAGGGACTGTTTTGTCTGTTTGAAAGTTATCAACGATGAAGCGTACAGAGAAGAGGAGAAATTCTTTCCGCAAGTATGCCGATCCGTGTCCCAGATATCTGACACCGGAGGATTCACACGATCTGTGCGTTTTCTGCCTGGGAGAAGAGCATGCGCAAACTGCGAGGGAGCTTCCTGCGCAAACTGTGAGAGTTTTTATATCAGAACTCTCCGCTCTCGTCTGTCCCACTTCTCGAGGGAAGTGGGCGTGGCATCTGAACCCCGCGGTGCCGGTCCCGCTCGGGCTGAGGCTCAGCGGCGCTTGAGCTCGTGGGGCTCTCAGATGGAGCTGGCAGATCAGCTGGAGAGGGGCGTTAACCTCGCGGATGATCTGCCAGCTGACGAGGGTGAGTTACAGGTCGATGTAGAGGAGGTTCGTTCTCTTTCTGATGGGTCTGTAACTGGTTCTCTTCGGGCCGGGCAGGAGTCGGCTGCCGATGATATCAGTCTGGTTAGGACTGAACCATCTCAGCCCTCCTGCCCAGTGTACGCTGAGTTGGTGGACGTTATGGGGCGTGCCACCAACAGATTGCAGCTGCAGTGGAGGCGCGTCCGGGAGGAACCTGCTCGTGGTATTTTGGACGATCGGTTCCTCCCTACCCGTTAGCCACCAGCTCGGACAAGCCTTCCATTCCTTCCCGATCTCCACTCTGAGACGTCGTTCTCCGCACGTCTTCATCTGCATCAGCGGGCTAGTTTCGCTGCTGTGGATGGGGCCGCGGAGCACGGGTATGTGTCGATGCCCCCAGTGGACGAGACGTTGGCCAACTATCTCGCCTCTGGTCGGTCTTCGTCACTGGGAGCTCCAACCCTGCCATCCAAGCCGCTTAACCCTCTGGGGTCGGCGGTATCGCCAGTGATACCAGCTCACTCTTTTTCTTATAAGTGCAAAAGAGATTCAAAATACACTGCTGATTTTGATCTTACATATAAGTGTTATACATCATTCGATCCTGTTAAGTGTCTATTTTATTTGTGGATACTCACAATAAAAACAAAGTGTTGTGCTTTTTGTCAAATAAAGAAAAATAAACATGATGCGCGTTTTGCCTTCTCTCTGTGAGTGAAGTCCATTCTGAAACGCGTCCGAAAAATGAACTGTAACTCAGTCAATACTTGTCACAGAGACACGAAAGATTTATCTTTATGAAGCTGAAATTCTCTTCTTTTAAATGAAGTAATTTATATAAAAAACAACTATTCTCAGTTTATGTAATCTGTATGAAAAGAGAGAGATGTCAGTCTTTTTCCTTTCAGCTAATTATAGCGTATGACGTGTTAATGTGACCACGACCACTGAGAGCGCTATTCAAACATAAATGTTGAGGCAAGCCATGCCAACGCCCACATCAGCTGGATAAAACATCCAGTTTAATAAGAATCTTGTACTTTACCTCGTTTTGCTGCGCTGTGAGGAATAATACTATCTAATAATCCTGAAAAAGTTACCTCAGAAGTGCTGGTAGGTTCATTTCGAGGAGCAACGGATTCAGCTGATGAAGTAAGTTATTTATTCTTAAGTGCTTTGTTCTAATCGCGTTATTGAATAGTGTCTGTAAACTGCACAAAGACTGTTTAAATATGAATTGCGTGTCTGTGTCATTCATTCATTCATTCACACACAGACACGCAATTCATATTTAAACAGTCTTTGTGCAGTTTACAGACACTATGTTGCGCGATGTTACAACAACATCTGTGCCGTTCATTCACTCTCGCTCCTACATTATTTTACATGAACACATCCAAACTATATTGCTATAGCCTACTGAGATCTGTTCTAATCGCGATATAGAATAGTATCTGTAAAACCAAAAAGACTGTTTAAATGAATCGGGGTGTCTGTGTGTGTGAATGAACGAATGCACAGATGCGCACTGTTACAGACGAAATAAAAGACAATATTTCGTTGACTAGTTTTAGATAGATTATAAAGTTTTTACTATAAAATAGACATCAAATAAGCTTTTGTTAGATAGTTTCTGCATTCTGCTCATATGTTATATAGTATGTTTTGTAAAAAATAAACTAATCAACTGTTATAGTGTTTGTTACAATGCACGCTATATCAAAATAATGAATCCTTCACTTTGAAATATGTATGATAAAATGTATTGGCCTACTTTAAAAAATAATACTTTATAAAGACATTTATGGAAAAAGACAATTTTCTTTTCAAGATGTTTCCAACTCTAACTTTGAACCAATTCTATAGAATGGCCCATATAACCTATTTGAACAGGATTTGTTTCCAGGTATGACTAAAAATGTGCTTTTGACTTTCATTTATATTTTGATTTTATATATATGTGCGTGTGTGCGTGTGCGCGTGTTTTCTTGTGTGACACACCTGCAGTGTTGGGAACGTTACTTTAAAAAAGTAATTAGTTATAGTTACTCTACTTGTTACTCTACTTGCTACTACTTGTTCCAAAAAGTAACTGAATTACTCTATAATAAAGTAACTCGTTACCAGGGAAAGTAACTATTTGCGTTACTGTTAAAAAAAAAGTTGCTATATGTCAAAGAATTTGGATTTTTTTTTAGCAGTTTTCACAAGTCAGTTGAAATGAGTAGAACAGACAGGTGTTTGTACGTAACTTTTGATATTTATTGCACGTCGACAGACAGCAAGAGGTTTATCCTGCACCTCAAGTATTATCTTTGTAAGAAAAGTAAACAGTTACACCATATAAAGTGCATTTAACTCTAGCGAATTAAATCAAACTCTCTCAACCTAAGACAACTGGTCAAGTTAACAACCTGTACTTCCAAGTGTTTTGTTCACAACAAAAGTAAACTTTTAAACTACAAATTCTTAATTAAATAAATCAAACTCCCAATGTCAGACAACTGGTCTGGTAGACATTCTGTACTTCAAGTATTTTCTTCAAAAGTAAACGGTTAAATAATATAAAGTGTGTTTGCAGTAACTGTAGCAAATTAAATAAATCAAACAAACTCTAACAACCTGAGATAAATAGTCTGGAAGACATAGGCTGCTGTATTTCT